AACTTATATCGAAACGACAACCTCCTGTACACCAGGCGAGGGAGTTAACATCTCTGAGCCACCGCGGTGGTCTCCACCGATGACTGCACGAAAAAATATAACAGTCTGTCACGTATACATTTAGGGGCCGTCCATAAATGACGTCACGCACCTGGGGGGGTGGGTCAGACATTTGTGACGATGTGTGACGAGGGGGGCGGGGGGAGTCAAAAATCGTCCAAAATCGCGTGACGTCATTTATGGACGGCCCCTTACTTAAATGTCAGCTCTGACATGAATTTATACATATATATGCTGGATATTAAAATGCACACATGTGTTTTTCGTTTTCGAGCGGGGCTATTGACAGATTTTGACAGATTGTCTGTGTGCCCACCAGTACGCAAAGCTTCAGCACGCAAAGAAGAGGCATCGTCAAGAGAGATGCATTGTTGTTGCGCAACCGACGAGGAGAAGAAGAAGAAAAGACTCCGAGCTTTCAATGTCCCCGGGAGAATTGACTTATTTCAGAGCAGGGCAGCGTCAGCTGCTTCCCCAACAAGAGAACGATCCGGGGAAAAACCAGGCTCGTGGTCACCCGTGTTGACCACGAGCGGGAATCGAACTCGGGTCGCCGAGTTCGCGTCCTGCCACTTCCCGCAGAGGTCACGGGGAGCCGTGACCTCTGGCTCGCCCAGCAGCACCGTGAAGCGGCAAACGTGGACTCCACCTGTGCCATCTGTATGGTGGGGGGGAGGGGGGGATACAGCGTTGCCCCCTCTCGCGCGCGAGGGTTTTTGTCTGCCTGCTCCGGTCTCACTCCCGCTCGTGAGCGCTCTTAATTGGCCGATGACACCGCCTTCAACGTGCAGAGGACGTCTGAGCTCGGGAGGGAATTAAGAGGATGGATCACCGACATCTGCCGCCTGCAGCCTTGACTCGTCGGTATCACCGCAGGAGCTTCGCGTGAGTCTACAGCAGCATCGTAGGTGGCGTCGATTGGGGGGCTCCGCTGAGGCCGGTGTACTGCAGACCGCTGGGCGAGATAGGCCCAAGGGCGGATCGGTGGAGACCCTCGCAGACGAGCGGCCTTTAGCGGCGGCGGCTACGGTGGCCACGGTCATCCTCGCCCTCCGGTGGGCCCAGAAATCTGTTGGCGCGACGATCGCTGGTGGCGGGGAACCAGCGGCGAGCGTCGCTGGGGGCGGGAGGCCCTCTGTGGGCCCCCCCCCCACCCCGGCCGTGGGGCCCCGTTCCAAAAACATTGCCCAACCACCTGGCGCGGAGCGGAGGAGCCGCGCGGGACAGAGGCGGCGTTGTGGTGCAAAAAAAACACACCGCACCTCGCCCCAAGCCCCTCTCCCCCTTCATCGAACGCTTCCCCCCGAAGAAGAAAACGGTGTCTCGTGGGATACACACGCGGGCAACGAGAGTGGTGGATAAAGACACAAAATAAACTCACCCACGTTCGGGCAGCAAGGCCCACTGCCCGAAACGTCGCCTGTTTTTTTGTCGGTTTTGTTTAAAGGCCACAAAAGGTGTTCTCATTAACGAGTGCGCGGAGTGATTTGATTTTTTTTTGCGGGTAATTGTGTTCGGGCACCACTGCCAACCTGCAATTAGTCACGCGACGAGCGACCGTAGCGGAGTGGGACGACGGACGTGAGCATGTCCCGGGTGTCAAAACATTTCCCAGATGGCTGGCGGACTGCGACAGGGCACGAGACCGCACGCAGGGCTAGTGGGGAAGGGGTGGGGTGGGGAGGTGCGGATTCCTCCGCTCGCCGCGAGGGCTTCGAATATTTCGCCGCAAAACTGACGGCGTTGACGGCGAAATGTACACAGCGTGGAAAAACGGGCGCAGGACAATGACGAGTGGCGAGGTGCTGGTTGCGCAACATGTGTTGCGGGTGTATGCTAATTACAACCAGCTTCATCACATTTGGCTGTCGCCTGAATCCGGTGAGTGCTGTACTAGTGACGAATTGGCCACGTTCGGTTGACGTGACAAACCCTTACGAGTTGGCTGTGTTTCGGGTGGTGGCGGGTTTAACGACACATTAATATATTTACGCGATCTAACCCCCCAAAAACGATATTATGGACAAACACATAGCCCCCCCCCCCCACCCCGTATAGCATTTCACATTCTGTTGGGGTATGTATGTTGAACTTCTTTCGCGCCGTACGTAGCCAACCGCGCTAATCGGAGGATGCGGGGGAAGGACAACAAACTGAAAACAAAAAGCCGTTCTAAAGAAATGAGTTTTCAATCTGGATGACGATTTAAAAGTGCATAGCTACGGCGACTCTCTAACATCGGAGGGAAGAGCGTTCCAGACGGCCGCAGAAGCGCGATTCCCAAAGGGCGCGATTCAAGTCACCGTATTTGTCGCGTCGGTGAGGCCAAAAACCAATGCTGCGAGGATGACCGGAGTTCGTGTGATGTTGGTTTAGGTTTCTTGACGAGATCAGCGAAGTATTGCTGGTTCATTTGTGGCTAAGCACTATTGTGTGTGATGAGCGCAACCTTATATTACCAGCGACCAACAGCATCAGTGAAATTCGAACGCCCTTCGCCGACCGCAAAGGAGACCGTCGATATCACCCACGCCGCGCGGGGAACTAACGGAGAGGCGCGAGGACGAAGACGAAGATTCGGCCTCGCCCGTTAGTGATGACGGCATCATGGTGGGACAGCCCAAATGTATCCGCTCACACACTTCGTCATGGCCGTCATCAGCAGCGGCGTCGTTAGCCGTCGGTCAATCCGCTGGCTCGATGAAGGCCTCAACGGAGCCGTCGCCACCGTTTTGTTCATGTTTTTGTTTTTTGTTTGTTGCGGTTGCACCCGATTCAAGAGCCGAATGGCTCACAGGGCTATACCTAATACATGAACTTTGAACTTTGAACTCTCGCGATCCTGCAGGCACTCTAGCATAACCACATACTATAATAATATCATGAGCGCTGCCTCGGCATCGACGTGGGATACAGGGTGGGTGTGGGGAGACGTGACGTCATCACGCAGATGCGCGCGGTGACGTCAACACCGTGCACTTGCCCGCTTAATGCACCAGCCAGCCAGCCAGCAAAACTTACAAAAAAGGTATATGATGATAATAATACCTTTAATTTACGCAAAAATAGCCTCAATCACCTCAAGACTCCTTTTCAGGAGGGTCCATAAAAGAAACTAGAGAAAACCCAAGTCTAAAAACAAAAAAACTCGAAGCTCCGCACAGATGGATATCAGAATCCATTGCTGCACTGGCATCTCCCGGCCACACCAACCTGCACAAGCAGTGTGGTGACATCACCTTCCGTAGGTCGTTCTCTCAACGCGGCGAGATGCACTGCCCACTACGAGAGTTTGAAGGTCAATCGAGGGGATCTCCGAGGGTTACTATTCTGGGCGCTCCGTCCTCGCGAACACAATCGACTTAACAAGACAACACAACAACCGCCATTCGCCAATAATTAGCGGTGATGTCCTCAGAGCGCTTGTGCCAGGCTAGGTGCACTGTCAGGCCACGTGAAGTGTCTAAGGCCCGCTTGCAGGGTGGCCCCAGGTACACACCCGGGCACCATGGGTTAACTGACTGAGATGGCTGGCAGATGCACCACCTGTGTTCCCCACTGCGTCAACTCGCTGCGCTTTAGCCGCCCGGCGCTCCGCTCGTTGTTGCGAGCGTCGCTCCTCTGCCCTCCGTCGTTGCTGGAGGGCGACTGCCCCCAACTCCCCAGCAGCGTCCTTCACGAGCATCCTCCACTGGAGCCGATTTTGACACCGCAGGTGCCGGCCGTCGGCAAGTCCACTCGGCTCCACATCATCCTGCACCACATCGCTCCATCTCCTCTCTCGCCCGTGCCACGTCCCCGTTAAGCCCCCTCTATCCGGCAGTACGAAACATCTGCTTGGGCGCGCTCCTCACACAGCGACACGTTCCTCGGAACCGCCGCGGTGCTGGGAATTTACGCGACAGTTCCCGTAACGGGGCGTTCTAAGACCGTGGCGTGAGAGATGGAAACACCGCGTCAAGAAAATCCACCAGTGCCGAGAGTGGACAAAAACAAGTCACCCGGAGGAAACCGGGAGAGGAAATGTGGACGACTGAAATACAACTTAGAAACGCGCGTTCAGAGCATCTGTCTGCTGATAATGTCCACACGAGAAGCCGTTGAGCTGTAACTTGTGGCCAGGTGGTGTCTGAATAAGAGCGATATTGCTCAGTGGGCCTTGCCAGGTAAAATGAAAAAAAAAACGAATGTCATAACGAATTGAAATAACATTGCAGGTCTTTGAGGAAATGAACTGTCCCAAGAATCGTCGTCGGTGCTGCTGAAGCGTCAAACGCCCGGTGGCGCGCGATCCGCGCGGCACTTTTATGTCGTCGGGTGGAGGAGGATTGACGACACACATTTTTGTTTTACACCACGACCCACCGGCCCGCCCACCCCCCCCCCCCAAAGCAGTATATCAATTACGAATGGTTACATCGGCCGTGAAAGCCTCCGCGTGATAACAACGTTGTCCAGAAACGAGAAGGTCTGCAAGGTTGCCACCATCACGGCGCAGGGCTAAGCCTGCGACGCCCGTTCTCTCTGATTGCATCAGCCTCCCAGGTGGGGGGGGGGGGGGCGATGTTCGAGCTGACCTACACCTCTTCTCTCCCTCTTCTCTCCCTCCCTCCCTCTCCCCCTCTCTCTCTCCATCTCCGGCGAGAGGTTTCCCTGCCTACGCTGCGTTTGAAGAACGCAATCGGGCGAATAGGATTTGTGGTGGGAGAGAGGGGGGGGGGGTGAGGGGGAACGGCCCTAGCCCTGAATAGCCCCCCTGGAAACTCGCGTGCGGGTGTCTCCCCCCCCCCCCACGGCACACCAAAGTGGTGTGATCATCGTGGTGGTGGTGGTGCTGAAACTGGGGATGTGACCACCCACAAGGCACGGCAGCTGTCGAAGAGTCCCAAACTCTCTACCCGCCCACCCTGATCTCCCCCTCCCCTCCGATTGAGCCTCACCTCTGAACTTCTTGGGAGGATTGTTCAGGTCGCCGGCGTCTGGCTGGACGACGCATCGATCGTCCACCAACCTGGGGAGCAATGATGTCATCATATCAGCATCATCGTCGTCGTCATCGTCGTTGTCTTCTTCATGATTACCATCGTCATCACTGTCTTCACAATCATCATTGTCGTCATCATCGTCGTCATCATCGTCGTCATCATCGTTGTCATCTTCATGATCATCATCGTCTTCACAATCATCATCGTCATCATCATCGTCGTCATCTACATGATCGCCATCATCGTCATCACCATCTTCACAATCATCATTGTCGTCATGATCGTCGTCGTCATCATCGTCATCTTCTTGATCACCATCGTCATCACCGTCTTCACAATCATCACTGTCGTCATCATCGTCGTCATCATCGTCGTCATCATCGTTGTCATCTTCTTGATCACCATCGTCATCACCGTCTTCACAATCATCACTGTCGTCATCATCGTCATCATCGTCGTCATCATCGTTGTCATCTTCATGATCACCATCGTCATCACCGTCTTCACAATCATCATTGTCGTCATAATCGTCGTCATCATCGTCGTCATCATCATCGTCATCATCGTCGTCATCATCGTTGTCATCTTCATGATCATCATAGTCATCACCGTCTTCACAATCATCATCGTCGTCATCATCATCGTCATCATCGTCGTCATCCTCATGATCATCATCGTCATCACCGTCTTCACAATCATCATTGTCGTCATGATCGTCGACGTGATCAGCATTTACATGAGCATTGCCATCGTCATCACCTGTGCCACGGTTATTTCATCACTATCATCACGTGTTAACTACCTCGCCTGGTATACAGGAGGTCGTGGGTTCAATCCCGACCTTGACGCCTGCTGCTGTATATTTGGAGTCTGCGTGTCTCTCTCTCTCTCTTATCATCACCACGGTGGCTAGGAGATGTTAACTACCTCGCCTGGTACACAGGAGGTCGTGGGTTCAATCTCGACCCTGACGCCTGCTGCTGTATATTTGGAGTTTGCGTGTCTCTCTCTCTCTCTTATCATCACCACGGTGGCTAGGAGATGTTAACTACCTCGCCTGGTACACAGGAGGTCGTGGGTTCAATCTCGACCCTGACGCCTGCTGCTGTATATTTGGAGTTTGCGTGTCTCTCTCTCTCCCCGTGGTCGCGTGGATTTTTCTCCGGGTCCTCTGTATTATCTCTCCACATTGAGAAACATGAGTTTAGAGTATTTGGCTGCTACAAATTTCCACGCGACAAGTCACTATTATTTGTTGGCCAGGTCGCTTCTGAAAAAGATCTGCATAGTAGGACCTACCGGGTAAAATAACAAAAAGTTTAGTTTTAGTTCATCACTGCTGCCATCATCGAACATCCTCATCACTATTGCTTTCGTCATCACCCATTTTCTTCACGATCAATGGAAATGATCGTGACGATTAATTATAATAATAACAACAATGATGTCAACTTGTAACGCGACGCTGCACATTGTTCGCTCGGGGAGGAACCACAGACGGATGGGAAGGCAGCCAAATTTACCCATTACCAAGCTCTGCGTTCCTCTATATATTAAGATGTTCTCAACCAAATGAATGAGTGCTTACGTGTGAGAGGCAAACGGAGCACCAGGAGGAAACCCACAACACGCGAGAGGGGGCAACGCTGTATCCCCGTACAGATGGGAACGGGTGGAGTCAACGTTTGCCGCATCGCAAAGGAAAAGGGGAGAGTTTCACATCAGCGTCTGTGTGTCTGTGTGCGTTTGTGTGTCTGTGTGTGTGTGTGTCTGTGTGTCTTTGCGTGTTGCTCCACAGGGTTCGCTCGCGGAGGTAACCACAGGCGGACGGTAAGGCACCGAGGCGGTGCCGAAAGTTACCCATCACCAAGCTCTGCGGTCCTCTGTATATGAAGATGTCTGTGAGTGTTTACGTGCAGGAGCCAATAGACGCAGCCAGAGAAAATCCAGGCTGTGCGAGGGAGTGCAACACTCTATCCAACGCAAACAGATGGAACACGTGGAGTCCACATTCGCTGTACCGCGGGAAGGGAATTTTTCCCCATCTGTGTGTGATCCACCAACCATCGCTGCCCTCCACAGCGCTGGACTACGCGGTCACGTGCAACATTGCCACCACCGCCGCCACCCGGCTAAATTAAAATGAACATTAAGAGGCTAATGACGGTGGTGTTAATTCGGAGGTGCCCTTTGTTGGTGCGGAATATTAAACTCGCAACCTTTGCATAATAGGGCCCCGTGGATTCTTTGCTTACCCGGCAAATCGGCCGAACACGTGTTCACACACACAAGCAAGGCTTGTGTACACAAAGACAAAGATCCCCCGTATAGCCTTGACAGACTGTAGGGGCAAGTGCTGTTAGCGAGCACCTATGAAGGCCGGCACAGCACACGAGGGGGTGAGTGACCAGCACCACGCCCGACCGCCTTTGTCTCCCCAGTGGCGATGTTTACACATCGCAACAGGTACTAATTTGAGGCTGAGTCGACCTAGGGGAGGCCCAGGACCGGTTCAGTTAATCGTCACTGGGTGTTGGCCGTGAGCGGGAATCGAACTCGTGTCGCCGGGTTCGTAGCCCAGCGCGCTAACCACTACACTATCGCTCCCCACACACACATACAAAACAAAGATCCCCCGTATAGCCTTGACAGACTGTAGGGGCAAGTGCTGTTAGCGAGCACCTATGAAGTCCGGCACAGCACACGAGGGGGTGAGTGACCAGCACCACGCCCGACCGCCTTTGTCTCCCTAGCGGCGATGTTTACACACCGCACCAGGTACTCATTTGAGGCTGAGTCGACCTAGGGGAGGCCCAGAACCGGTTCAGTTAATCGTCACTGGGTGTTGGCCGTGAGCGGGAATCGAACTCGTGTCGCCGGGTTCGTAGCCCAGCGCGCTAACCACTACACTATCGCTCCCCACACACACATACACACACACATACACACCCACACATACACACACACGCACTATGTATGTACAGCACACATAGTGCGTGGCCTATACTCAACACTACCCGTGCGTGCACGCATAGTGGAGTGGTTAGCGCTGCACGTCACTAACCACACGGCCGCCCGAGTTCGATTCCCGTAGGTCCACTCGGCCTTAAGTGAGTACCTGGCGGGGTGTGCTAAACATCGGCAGTGGGGAGACAAAGGCGGCCGGGCGCGTGGTGTTGGCCACATCATAGCATCGTGTGCCATTGCGAGCCTTCATCGGTGCTACTCGCGAATAGCACTTGCCCCTACAACCTATTCAAAGGCTATACGGTAGGGGGTGTACCTTTGTTTTTGTGAAGGCGAAATGCATTGCACACTCCGAGGGTGTCCCTGTGAACCGTGAGCGCACGCAGACACTTGGGGGGCCGCCCATAAATGACGTCACGCGATTTTGGACGATTTTCGACCCCCCCCCTCTCCTCGTCACACGGCGTCACAAAAAGTCAGACCCACCCCTCAAATATGACGTCACAAAGCTCTGCCCCCCCCCCCCCCAATTTTCTTTTTTAACATGCTTCAAATCGCTTTAAACTATTGTCATTGTAGCGCGTATTTAATGTGGCGCTGCACTCTGATGTTGTAGGAGAAGACATTTATTAAAAAGTCTATTAAATTAAGTAGAACGAGTTGTCTATTTTCATTTAAAGCAGCGCGTTTTGACGTGACGTCACATTTATCAAACACCCCCTCGTCACACATCGTCACAAATGTCTGAACCCCCCCCACCCCTAGGTGCGTGACGTCATTTATGGACGGCCCCCTAGATGTGAGCACGTGAGCACGCCCGGCGCATGCGGAGGCGTCGCTGGGACTCATCCTTGCGAATCCCTGACGGGAGGGGCCTTTGAGATGCACAAAGACAAAGCTCCCCTCCCCCCCAGTATAGCCTTGACACAACTATTGGGGCAAGAAGTGCTCGTCGAGAGAAGCGCCTATGAGGATAAACACGGTTAAATTTCGATTTCAAGCTTTCGTGACTGCAGGGATTCATCTTCTTGGTTCTTTCGGTAAACTCACGTAAAAGGGAAGTAATAAAAATAAAACATAATAAAATCATTCTCACGACGTTTCGGCTACAACGCAAGCAGCCGTAAATATGCTAAATTCCTCTTGATATGCAAATTATTTTGTCAAGGCGCTCTTCTTCCACCTCCAATCCAGCTTATATAAACGCTCCAAGTTTGGTAGTGTTTCATTCTTCACCTGAAGACGGCTGCCTGCGTTGTAGCCGAAACGTCGTGAGAATTAGACTTTACCGAAAGAACCAAGAAGATCAACACGGCATCACGAGGGGGGTGGGGCAGCACCACGCCCGGCCGCCTTTGTCTCCCGTTCGGCGATGTTTACACGCCGCACCAGGTACTCATTTCAGGCTGAGTCGACCTCGCTGAGGTTATACCAAGGACCGATTCGGTTCAATCGTCGCCGGCGTTTGCCACGCGTCGAAACTAAACTTGGGTCCACCGAGCGCTCGCACGCGAGCCGATCCCATCGCTCCGTCTCCTCGGCAGACGTTCACCCTGGCAAAATGCTCGTCAGCAAACGGGGCATGTGCACAGTGCCGGATGATCTTCTTGGTTCTTTCGGTAAAGTCACGTAGAAGGGAAGTAATAAAATAATAAAAATAAAACATAATAAAATAAAATAATTCTCACGACGTTTCGGCTACAACGCAAGCAGCCGTCTTCAGGTGAAGAATGAGACACTACCAAGCTAGGAGCTTATATATACGCTGCGTTGGAGGTGCAAGAGCGCCTTAACAAAAAGCGAGTGCGGAACCTGTAGCGTATGTTACGAAGTGGCCCTAAATAAAAATAAAACACGTAAATGTTTAACTTGCATAGTACAGTAATTGCATCGTAAATTATATTTTTTAATTCGCTATACAGACAGTTAACACGACACATCGCTAACCTGAAACACCCAGTCGTTCGTAAAAGTTGAAGGCGGTATAGTACTATAGTAATAGAGCAAGTGCAGAATCACTGAACCGGAATTGATAGCTTGAAAACATTTAGCGCGGGGCCCTTGAAAGTGCGGGGCCCGTAGCTACTACACGTGCAGCTGCTACACGTGCAGCTACTACACGTGCAGCTACTTGTGTAGCTTGTGTAGCTACACGTGCTACTATACGTGTAGTAGCTACACAAGTAGCTGCATGTGTAGTAGCTACACGTGTAGTAGCTACGGGCCCCGCACTTTCAAGGGCAACTACATGTGTAGTAGATACTACACGTGTGGCTATTACACGTGTAGTAGCTACTACATATGTAGCTACTTTTGCTACTGGGATAATCCTGCACTACGTGTGTGGTAACAAAACAAAATCAACGTCACGTGTCAACGTGTCGTGTGCAGCTGCGTTGGGTGGTGGAGGGGTTACGGTACACAGCTTCTGATTGACATCGAATGATCGTCACCCGTGTGGGCCGTGAAATGCACGTTGCATTACCCACGAACGCACACAACGGCAGCCAAGACGCCCTTTCTCTCCTGGTATTTTGTATTACTCATACTGGGGGTGCTCCTGCTGCTGCTGCTGAGTCTTTGGGGGGTCATAGGTAGCACGTGGGGAGACCGCACAAACAGCTGGGGAACAGGAAGGCTTCGTGCTGTCCGTAGCCGAGTGGTGGTCTGGGAATCACGTTGGATGTCGTGTCGGTGTGTAGGCGTGTTGGTGAGTCGCTGTGTTGGTGTGTTGGTGAGTCGTGAGTTGGTGAGTCGGTGTGTTGGTGAGTCTGTGTGTTGGTGAGTCGGTGTGTTGGTGAGTCTGTGTGTTGGTGTGTTGATGAGTCGGTGTGTTGGTGAGTCAGTGTGTTGGTGTGTTGGTGAGTCAGTGTGTTGGTGTGTTGGTGAGTCGGTGTGTTGGTGTGCATGCGCTTTCCCACTGCTGAATGATGGAGCAGAATCATAATATGTATTAATAATGGAGAAATCCGATGAGCTATGAAGCTCTTCTTATTCACAGATCGTGTCAACGGGGGGCGTAGTCGGTCGTCTGGACCGCCTCTGGGAAGCGATGCACTTTAAAATTATCATCCAGATTGACAAACTCATTTCTTTAGAGTCGCTTTTTGTGTGTTTAGTTTGTTGTCCTTCCACCCGCACCTTCGATTAGCACGGTCGGCTACGTACGGTGCGAAAGAAGTTCTACATACATACCCCAACAGAATGTGAAAGGCTATACGGGGTGGGGGGGGGGGGGGTTATGTGTTTGTCCAAAATATAGTTTTTTTATGGGGGTTAGATCGCGTAAATATATAAATGTGTCGTTAAACCCGCCACCACCCGACACAGCCAATTCGTAAGGGTTGTCACGTCAACCGAACGTGACCAATTCGTCACTAGTACAGCACTAACCGGATTCAGGCGACAAACAAATGTTATGAAGCTGGTTGTAATTACTGGCGAAACGTCGTACTCAGATTGTAAATGTTGTGGTTTGGTTCTCCAACGTAGCGGTGTGCTGTACTAGTATACTACACTATACACTACACTACATTACACTACACTATACACTACACTATACACTACACTACTATACACCACACTATACACTACACTATACACTACACTACTATACACTACACTATACACTATATACTACTATACAATACACGATACACTACACTATACATTATACTACACTATACACTACACTACTATACACTACACTATACACTACTATACACTACACAATACACTACACTATACATTATACTACACTATACACTACACTACTATACACAATACACTACTATACACAATACACTACACTATACACTAATGTTGTACTAGTATACTACACTACAATACACTATACACTACACTACACAATATACTACCCTATACACAACACTTCTATACACAATACACTACATTATACATTAGTGCTGTTCTGGTATACTACACTATACACTACACTATACACTACACTATACAATATACTACACTATACACTACATTACTATAAACAATACACTACTATACGCAATACACTACACTATACACTAGTGCTGTACTAGGACACTACACTATACACTACACTATACACTACACTATACACTATACACTACACTATACACTACACTATACACTACACTATACACTACACTACACACTACGCTATACACTACACACTACACTATACACTACACAATACACTATACACTACAATACACTACACACTAGTGCTGTACTAGTGACGAATTGGCCACGTTCTCTTTACGTGACAACCCTCACTTGTTGGCTGTGTCGGCTGGTGGCGGGTTTAACAACACAATTATATAATTTACGCGCTCTAACCCCCCCCCCCAAAAAAAAAAAAACCTCTTATGGATGATATCAGTCGCGAAATTCCTCCTCCTCTTACCACTACGTGTTATGTGTTCGCGATGCCCGCGAGCGAGAAGGCGGTGTGGTGGAGAATCTCACCCGAGCGTGCACACGAAGCCGCTGACCGAGCCCTCGGCGTACAGAGACACGTAGTCTCCGATGTGCAGAAAGCTCGAGATATCCCCCATGACTCCGTGCAGGGATGATCCTTACTCCGGCGACTGCTGCTGCTGCTGCCAAAGTCTCCACCCGCACCACCCTCCTCCTCCACCTCCCGCGCGCTCTCTTCCAAACTCCAACCCCGCTCCACGCTCCACTCGCACGCCCCCCCCCCCTCTCTGCTCCCCGTGCCCCCCTAAAAACAACAAAACCCCGTCGCTGGATGTACGCACTCAAACGCTCTTCGTCTCGCACCGCTCGCCTCTCGGTCACCGAACGCCACGCGCAGAGGCGCAACGCGCGTGGAGGAGGAGCAAGCAGGAAACGATGCGCGCTTGAAACGGTGTTTGGGGGTTGGGTGGATGGGGGTGCGCGCTGATGAACGAGTGTCTCGCTTCTGACGAATTGTCCACTCCTTGACCTTTCTCCGCGTGCTCCTCTTCTCCCGCCGGCCCTCCCCTCCTCCTCCTCCGTGTCGTATCGCCCTCCCCTTTCTTCCTTCTTGTCCCGTGACCCCCCGCCCAACGCCCCCGTCGACCTCTCCTCCGCGTCGCGTGCACGACCCCACGACCTCGATCACGAACTTCTGTGCCCGCTGCGCATCATAGCCGGACGCGCGCCGCCACGACCATCATCACCATCATCATCATCGCCACCACCTCCATCATCATCATCGCAATCGCCAGCACGAGCCGCACGTCTTTAAACCGAACGACGGCGCCCGACTACAACAGCAGCAGCAGCAGCAACGGCGACACCCGATTCGGCCCCCTTCTTGTTATGTTTCGCTGCGAGCACGTTCGATGAATTAATTCATTAATCGCCACAACCGCAAAACGCAGTGGGTGTTGAGCGGCGGTGATGGTGATGGTGTCGATGATGATCGCGAGAGGTTACGCGGCACTGAGAGCCGTTGTGTTGATGGGAGCTTACGCATCCCTTTGTTGACTTCTCTCGCTCTTCCAATCTGCGCTCTTCCCCTCTCAACTCACACGGACCTCCTCCGAGGGCAGGTCGCGCCGTCTCTCTTTCTCTCTCTTCTGTGCGTGCGCGTAACTGTAGCGGAGAGGCAAGGGAGAGGAGAAAGAGAGGGAGAGAGGGGTAAGGGGAGGAGGCGTGGGTGGAGAGAAGCGATTGGGAGACGGGAGAGTGGGAGGAGGAGGATGACTGGCGTAGTTTCCTAAATTCCAAGCTGCATCTCAGCCAATGAGAAGTCACCATCGTCGTAATAACAATTCTAATCGGTGCAATCACCGCCGTAATTATCACACGGCATCATATCGCAATTTGCAATCAGTCTAATAACATTCGTCGTGATGGTCATCACCATGTACTGTACGTGCACAGGCCCTTATGGTTAAGTCCACTGCTGGATGACAGCAAAGCCACGCCGTGCGGGTAATGGGATTAGCTCGGCCATACTTCACCACTCTGGTCAATGCGAGCGGCGGGGATGACATAGAAGCACAGTTCAACAACGTGTGCTGATGCTGCTGAACACAACGTAGCCCCGAGTCTGCCTGCAACCCCGGTGGAGTCAGTTCTACAACGCCCCGTGTTGTTTCCATAACGCCAATTGGATATAACGCGATGATGAATGCATTCGGGGAACACATTTTTTAAATATATAACGCGGATTCCAATTTGGATATAACACGATTTGAGTGAACGTTACTACGTCGCGCGAGAAGGAGCAAGCGCTCGTACGGCTGCCTCGATGTAGCGTTGTCGCAAAGGCCGGGATGCTGCTGGATGTTTCTAGACGCTACCCACGCGCCTCGGGTCTGTGTTCAGCATCTCACGTGTTGTCCGTGCCTCACCCCTACAATATAAACACATTGTTTAAAATAACACGATTTTTTTTTCCATAACCCCGGCGTTCTTCCGGAACGCAACTCCCACCGCGTTACCGGAGAAGGCGACCGCGATAACGGTGCAGGGTCCACGTGGTTGAGCCCCATGCGGCGACAGCCCTGCTATCCAGCAGGCCCCACAATTCCCGCTCAGCTTCCCCCGGGATCTCACGAGAACCTCAGCGTCTATGAGCCAAGGGGCATTGGGGAAGCCACTTCTGACATTTAACACTGGGGGCCAGGGCAGGGCCGTAGAGGGCGGAGTGCGGCGTAATTGCATTTGTTGCGCTGTGCTCCTATGTCCCCGCGTCCATGCAACCGCTACCCCCATCCTCCCCACCACCGCCAAGTGGCAATGACCGGCGCGGTGAAATGTGGTCAAATAACTCACGCGCGCGTTGAACTTTCTTCACACCGTACGTAAACAACTGTTGCTAATCTGAGGTGATTTAAAAGTGCAAAGCTCCAGCGGCTTCCATAATATCGGAAGGAAGGAGCGTTCCAGACGGCCGACCATGCCCCCTGTGAATGAATGCGAGCTTTGATTGCTCATCAGATTCATCCAGCATGAATAAATATCCTGATTCGGGCGTATCATCCAGCAGTGGGAAAGGTCGTGTACACGTGTAGTGTCATAGCACTGGCTGCTGGCGTGAACGGGGATCTGCGGTGTATGGCAGTCCTGACGTCAGCAGGCCAGGATATACACGAGAGGGGGATCTAGGGGGGAAAGGTCACAGAAAGGACTCACCAGGAACCCGCTGGTAGGTTCCAGAAAGGGGGCGTGTCCGAGGGCGGAGCCAGGCCACGCTGAGAGTATAAGAGGGGTCCCTGTGGGGGACCTCGGGGCTGTTGCTGGAAGTGGGATCCACGTCGTGCCGTTCAAGTCCATCGTCGCCGTTCTTCTCGTCGTCGTCACCATCCTTCTCGTCTCCGTCTTCACCATCCCGGGGTGCCACTAGTCAGACAGCCTATCGGCTGTTCTAAGGAGTGCCGCCGGCCATAGACGGCCTCAATAAAAGAGTGTGTCATCCCGATGGTGATTATTAAATAAAGAAGTGCCTCCAAGTTTCCACTGTCTCCGAGGTAGTCACTACACATGTGTAGCGTCAATGATTCGGAGACAAAGTTTGTAGGAGGCACTTGCTTTATTAGACAACTTCCACGGTCTCGTTCACAAGTAGTACTAGTCGCATTCCTGCATTTCCCATAAATATGCTAAATTCCTCTTGATATGCAGATTCTTTTGTCAAGGCGCACTTTCCCCCCCTTCAAACCCAGCTTAAATAGACGCTCCAAGCGTGGTGGTGTTTCATTTAGACGCTGTCGCCTCGACAGACCTGGTCTTCGCCTGAGGACGGCTGCTTGTGTTGTGGCCGAAACGTCGTGAGAATTATTTTATTATGTTTAATTTTTATTATTTTATTACTTCCCTTCTACGTGACTTTACCGAAAGAACCAAGAAGATGACTCTAAAGGCATGTTTCCAATGAGTACCTGGCGCGGTCTGTAAACATCGCTATCAGAGAGACAAAGGCGGCCGGGCGTGGTGTTGTCCACATCACCCCCTCGTGTGCCGTGGTGGCCTTCATTACGTGCTCGCGAACAGCACTTGCCCCAACATATGTTAAGGCTATACGGAGGATCTTTGTCTTTGGTGGTTGTGGTGACGTTGGTAGCTGTGGTGGTCGTGGCATTGGTGGTCGTTGTGGTGATAGTTGCGGTAAAGGCTGTGCTGTGGTGGTGTGATTGTGGTTGATGTATTGGTATTTGTGGTGGTGATAGTGGCTGTGGTGATAGGGTGGAGCGGTGGTGTAGCGGTTAGCGCTACGCTGCGCTACGAACCCGGCGAACGGAGTTCAATTCCTGCTCACGGCCAACACCAGCGACGATTACCTGAACCGGTCCTGGGTGTCTCCTAGGTCGACTCAGCCTCAAATGAGTACCTAGTACGGTGTGTAAACATCGCAACGAGGGAGACAAAGGCGGTCTGGCGTGGTGCTGGCCACCTACCCCCTCGTGTGCCGTGCCGGCCTTCATAGGTGCTCGCTAACAGCACTTGCCCCAACAGTCTGTTAAGGCTTTGGTTGTGGTGATTGTGTTGGTGGTGGTGGTGTGTGTGTGGATAATTATAGTGTTGGTGGCGGCGATTGCAATATTCGTGGTGGTAATTGGCGCGGTGTTGGCTGCGATAGTGGTGGTGTTGGTGGTGTTGTTGGTGGTGGTAAGTTGTGATGGTTGTGACAGTGGTGCGGGCGGGTGTCGTTGTGGCTGGCGCAAACATCGGCCACACCACACACGCGCACACGCGCGCGTGAGGATCACATCTCGCTTGCGAAATGCCACATGGAGTTGAGAAATCGAACGACACGCCCCTCGTGCACGTTTCGACTGCTGTTGATGATCTCTACGTGTTAGTGATACGCAGTGGGACGGAGGGGGGGGTGTCGTAGTTAGCGCACTGCACTACGATCTCGGCGTGGCTCGGCGTGGCAGAGTTCGATTCCACGTCCCCCTAGGTCAACTCGGCCTTAAATGAACAGCTTGCCCTGCGATGCGTAAACAGCAGCACCGCCGGGGAGACAAAGGCGGCCGGGCGTGGAGCTGGCCACGCAGCAAGGCCGCAACTTATAATGCAATAAATGATTTCATTATTTAACAATGTGGAGTTGCCCCACTCCCCAAGCTCTCCTCCTCCCATACGCAATGGATGCATTCATTAGGGCCCAATCTCAGCACGGCAGCATCTGAGCTATAAGCGATAAGGGGCCGTCCATAAATGACGTCACGCACCTGGGGGGTGGGGGGGGTCAGACATTTGTGACGATGTGTGACGAGGGGGGGGGGGGGGTTGAGAAATGTGACGTCACATCAAAACGCGCAACTTTAAATCAATACAGACAACACGTTCTATTTAATTAAATAGACTTTTTAATAAATGTTTTCTCCTACAACATCAGAGTACAGCGCCACGTTAAATACGCACTACATTGACAATAGTTTAAAGCGATTTGAAGCATGTTTTTTTTTTGGGGGGGGGGGGGGGGGGGGGCAAGAGCTTTGTGACGTCATATTTGAGGGGTGGGTCTGACTTTTTGTGACCCCGTGTGACGACGGAGGTGGGAGGGGGGTCAAAAATCGTCCAAAATCGCGTGTCCTGACGTCATTTATGGACGGCCCCTTATTAAATCCTTTATATTAAGTTCACTTGCTTGCTTGCGCGCTTACGACGGTGCAAATCTTTCGGTCGTTTTTTAACCCACTTCCCGTGATCCAATCGAGCTGACATTTTGCACACAGACTCGTTGTGAGAGACAATTAATGTTCGTGAACATTTTTTTCCAAAATTTTACACTGTTTAGGGAAAACAAATTAAATATTTAATTACCAATTGCTTAATGCTGGCAGACAATCATCTGACCCATAGGTGGCAGCCATCTCAAGCCAGATGACGAGAGGACTCTAGCCGCCACGCATATAAAGGATTTATAGTGAAAAACTTTGTTTTTACGGGTTAATTTTTTTTCTATCCACGTGGCTTTACCGAAAGACCCAAAGAATATGAATTACTGCAGTCACGAAAGCTT